AAAATTTCATAAAAAACAAATTATTAATTTATTATTTTACAATTAATCATTTTACCTTCTTAATAGAATTTGAACTTTGCGAGAATTTGAGCGAGTTTGAGATTTGATAGGGTTTGGATGTTTGTGTTTGGTGTGTGTTTGAATGAAAAAGTAAAAATGATATTTATAGGGAGAGGAGAGGGGGTTTATCCGGATGGGTATTAATGTGGGAGGTGTGAACGGTTTGGGTATTAATAGAAGGCACGAATGATGATTCGCTTCTTAGTGGCGCGTGTCAGAAACTCTAGAAAGATACGGATGACTATTCACACCTATCCTTATGTGGCGCCGGCTCGGATAAGGCGCAGATGACCTTCCGCGCCTTTCATGACATGATGTCAGCTCATATGAAACCCCACAAAAAAAATTTTGTATTATACCAACATATAATTATTACACGTCAAGATGATATTTCGGTAAAAAATCCGAATAATCATCAATCTTATATTAATTGTGTATCCGTATATCAAACATAAAAAAAAAATCAGACCGTCGACGTTGGTGGTCTGCCTCATCCATGAGACAAGTCGTTCACAGCTGATTAAGTATTATACCAACAAAATATTTACTTGACCCAAAGTTTGGGCCAATTCATCAAAAAAGCCGAAAATGGTTTATATGGGCTTTACCTGCCCTACAAATATCCACCATTGACTAAATGAATGCCCAAATGTCATTTAGGGCCATTTCCTCCTACTGATTTTACAGATCAACTCTTATGGAAGAAAGTTAACTTCGTGATTATTTGGCATGTTTCCGGATGGGATGGATTGAGAAGGCAGAGTAGGCCTGTAAATGAACTGAACGTTCAACGAACCGTTCATGAACCGTGTGGCGGGAAGTTTGTTTATGTGCATTTATTTATTAAATGAACGAACATGAACAAGATTTTATATTCGTTTAATTAAATGAACGAACATGAACATAGGTCTCGTTCGTTCATTTACGTTCGTGAACGTTCGGTTATGTTCGTTTATGTTCATTCATTTATGTTTAAACCAATATTCTTAAATCAATTTTGGTGACCAATTTGTAAGTATCTTAAAAATATTAATTAATCTAATATTCTGATGACCAATTTATGTTCCTATATTCATTTTCTCCCTTTTTTCCCAAACCCTAGTGTTCACTGGAAAGTAGAGACGATCGCGGGAAGCTTCAAAACAAGTTATATTATAGTGCAATCTGAAGTTTTACAGGTCTGTTTTCATCTCTTTCTTTGTTTTATTTGGCTTAATAGTTTATATGTAAAGTTATTGTGGGTATCTTCACATCTAAAACTCAAGAAAACATCATACTTCTTTCTAGAAATAGATGAGAAGATAAATGTAATAAGCGGAAGTATATGAGTATCAGTAAAGAGAAAAATATATAGAATTTGTCATAAAACAAAGCAAAAGTTTCTATGCAATTTCTGAAAAAGAGTGTAATAGCGGAAGTAATGGATTTTCCATGAAGAACCCATTAATAAGTAGAAAATACATTTTGACAATGAACTTTTGTTTTCATAGTTCTTGTGTAACCTTTAGTTGTAGAGTAGACTTTAGGTACGATAAAATTTTGAATGGTGGTTTAGCAATAATATCAGTTACAATATGTAGCATCGAAGGGATTTCGGATCTATGTTATTGCCTTGTAGTTCAATTTGTACTGTTCGAAATCTTTATGTTGTTAAATTTTCTACTCTGCCAACGGAAATGACCATTATTAACAAACCTTACTAAAGTCTGACATTGATGTCACAAAACTTTTAGCCAGCGAATTTATTAGAATAACGTAGTGGAAAATGATTGTTCATATGTAATCATGGACCACTAAAATAAATGTTATAGCGTTAAATTAAAGTCGTGTGAATCATTTAATATCTTTAAAAGATACATAGAAATATTTGATATCTTCAAACATTTCATCACTGCTAATCAGCTCTTACGCTATTTATTATTGTAGATTTGGTTAATTTGCATTGTCGACTATTTTTCATGAAAGAACAATGGAAGGTAGTGTCTCCAACGTTTATGTTCGTGTTCATTTATGTTCGTGCTCATTTATGTTCGTGTTCGTTTATGTTCATGTTCGTTTATGTTCGTTTATTTATTAAATGAACGAACATAAACAAGTTATATTCCTTAATAAACGAACATGAACAAAAAAATTTTTGTTCGTTTATGTTCGTGTTCGTTTATGTTCGTGAACGAACATGAACATACCTCCGTTCGTGTGCGTTCGGTTCGTTTACAGGCCTAAGGCAGAGTGAGAGCCATTTTCCCTAAATATATATTTTTATATTTTTAATTAAACTTTTTTTTAATTTTATAAATTTATTATTATTTTAAAATTTTATAAATTCGTTTTCCTAATATAAAAATTTTATATTATTCGAATAAACGATTCCTCGTATTTCTGGCATTCGATCACGGAGACAATGGCGCCAGCGGTCACTTCACTCTGCCATGGAAAGTACAATTCCAATCACTAAACATTCAAATCAGATTATTTCAATCAAAATGTATTAAAGTACAAAGTCTCGACTTTTGTATTAAAATAATTTAAATCTAAAATAATTTACAATTTGAATCCAAATCATGAATTGAAAAAGAATTCGTCCTCCTAATTAGTACCGATTAAAAATATAAATAATAACAATAATTCCATAGTACAAATTTATCTTTAAGATTCGTATAATTTTTTAAAATTCCAATAATGGAGTTGTTGCTATTATTAAAGTTCATATAATTTTCTAAAATTCGTATACTCAAATAATAAAATTAAAAAAATAACCAATATTGTTCTATTGAAAAATAAATGAATTCGATTAAAAAAAATTGTGAAAAATAAATGGATGAAAAGGAAAATTGAAAAGTTCTGACAAATAAAGAGACAATGTTATTTTGATAGTTTAAAATAATTACAAAATTTCTTATAAATAATCTTTTATGAATTGTTTTTTTTCCCCCAACTAATGTGCGGTAATCCAATTGCGCTACAAGCAAAATAAGCAATACACGTTATACCTTATATCTGACCATACGAATATGACGTATACGATGATGATTAGATTTGGATAGAGAACTTGTAAAAATTAAGTCCATATTAATAAAATCTCAAGTGGAAAGTTCACTTTGAAAGTTAAATGCAATTTAATGATACTCAATTCCAGAAGACGATAACTTCAACGTTCCATTTATTTTACACTCACTAAAAATATTATTTTCGAAATTTTAAACATTTTAATAAAATTTAAATTAATTTTTAATATATAATATAAACAAATAAACTAGAAAACGATGATCTAGGCCACGCAATCTTTATGAAAATTACAAGGAACAAAGGACAGATATTCCAATAATATTAACAAAATTAAATCCTCCTAAAAAATAAAAATCGAACGAATTACACTCAAAATAAATCATAATGACTTTCAAACATCTTTATTATTATTTAATTAATAGATGCTACTAAATTACGTGTAATTACGCTTGCCCTCGCCAAACGTATATAAAAGAATTATTATATTTTCTTACAATCGCTTTGCAATATCTAATAAGATCAATATTATATTTGTACATATATTTTCACTTGAATTATATTATTTTAAAATACAGTTTTTCAGATAAATTGCGAGTTGGAAATAATACAAATAAATAAAAATTAAATAAAATTAATTTAAAACCCTAATCCAAAAATAAAATAAAATTTACTTTTTTCCCCCTAAAATTTCTAGAGGTTTTCTCACCTAAGCACCCATGTCATCACCCCAACATTATATTTACGTGTCATTGTCTCAAGTCATCTCTTTCTCTCTCCATTGAATCAAATTACTCTTCGAGTCAACGCCCACGTCATTACTATTTTTTAGTTTAAAAGTTATAGTATTTTTAATATTTTCTTAAACGTATTTATTATATAATTACATTCAAATTTATCATATCATTATTGATTACGCTATTTATATACGAGGGAGATAATTTAATTCAAATTTGATAGATTTTGAATTGATCATAAGATCAAGTTTCTTTAAAAAAGATTGGGTTTGGATCGGGTTATATTTTATAAAAGGTAAGGTCGGATCGGATCAAATTTGAATTTAAAATAAAATATCTCTGACCTTTTCTTCTATATATTTAGAGATAATTACTATAGTAACCCTGTGTCGATATTTTTCAATTAGATCCTTATTTTACCGAATAAAAATAATATTTTTTATATTTGTGTCAGTTTAAATTTTTATCCTAAAATTGTTGAGTTTAGAATCAAATGAAACCTCTTTAAACTCAGATAAAATCGTATTCAATTCGGGTATACTTCTCAGGTCGTTCTATCAAAAAACCTGATCTAATATGTCTCGTTATTATTCCTATTTATATACAATAAATTTAAATAATTTATTAATTAGGTGTTTGATTATTACTAAATGATTTTAATATTCTAATCATATAAACATTTAAATTTAATTTCGATTATAATTTAAAATAAATTGATTTTTTAACCGGTGGCTCAAATTGATTTTATTATATAATTTTATTATTAGTTGAACATAACTAAGGAGGTTAAATTTTAAATTTAACATACTAGAAGGACTAAAATCACAATTTGACGTATCGAATTTTCGATATATTCTACACCCAAAAGTATACTTTAGAATCGTAGAAAATCTTCAACTTTTTCTACTCTACGCGGTTCCAAGAAACCCCCAAGTATTCTCGAAGAATAATTATTTTTATTAAAAAAAGAGTTATTTAAAAAAAACGCCAAATTTCCCAAAAAAAATTATTTATTTTAGCAGTTTCGAATTCGGGGTCATATAACCTTCATCATATTCTCTGAAAAATCTTATTGTTTTCTTTTATATATATATATATTGTAGTCTCTGCCTCTGAGGTAAAACAATAACTCAACTATTGCTTTTGAATCATTGCATCAAGTTTTACATTTCTGCTGTTGTTTTTGCTTCAAAGTTTCCATTTTCATTTGTTTTCTGGGAAAATCAAGAAAGTTACAGTTATGGTTCTAGGACTGATAGTTTCCAGCTGGTAAAAAGAATCAAAGAATTCATTTTCTTTTCATTTTTGTAGTTTGATTTATAGTTTTTAATGTTTGGCTTCGATTTCAATGCAACACAGGTGCAGGGAGCAATTGGAAGACAAAAGGATTTTTGCTTTCATTGAAATTTAGAGGAGAATTCTGGGATTCTGTTTGAGTTTTAGGGGTTCTTAGGGATTTTTTTGCTAGCTAGATTGAGACTTGTAGTACTGGGAAGTTCACTCATGGATTAGGGGTGGCTAGTTATAGATCTTCAATGGTATGCTCATATGATTGAGGTCGATGTTTCAAGTGAGGAAGTTAGTCTCTTAACGTAGTCGAGTTCGAGTTTCGGGTGAATTAGTGGCAGCTAGTTATTAGATCTTCAATGGTTTGTTCTTATGATTGAAGTCGATGTTCTGAGTGAGGAAATTAATCTCTTAACGTATCCGAGTTTGAGTTTCAGGTGAATTATTGCGGTTGGTTGATATGTGATTGCTGGGAATTGAATTTAAGGTGTTTTAGATTTACATATATACGAATTTCTCAGTATGGATGATGCTCCGAGTAGCTCGAGTTCACTCCCTCCATTCCTTACGAAGACGTACGAGATGGTGGATGACCGTTCGACGGATTCTATTGTGTCTTGGAGTACAAGCAATAGGAGTTTTGTTGTGTGGAATCCGCTGGAATTCGCGAGGGATTTGCTTCCAAGATTCTTCAAGCACAACAACTTTTCTAGCTTCATCAGACAGCTTAATACATACGTGAGCAACTTGTTCATAAGTTTACCTTTCTTGTTTGCTTATTGCTGCTTCTTGAATTGAATTTGTTTCCGTATTTCGGCAGGGTTTCAGGAAAATCGATCCCGAGCAGTGGGAGTTTGCGAGCGAGGATTTTATAAGAGGTCAACCTAATCTTTTGAAGAACATACATAGACGGAAACCAGTTCATAGTCATTCGATGCAGAATCTTATAGGTCAAGGGGTTTCACCGTTAACAGATTCAGAGAGACAGAGTTTAAGGGATGAGATTGAGAGACTTAAGAATGAAAAGAATTTGCTCGTTTTAGAGTTAGAGATGCATGAGAAGGAACGGCAAGGATTCGAGATGCAAAAGCGGCTTTTGAGGGAGCGTATGCGAGCTATGGAGCGGCGGCAGCATGTAATGGTGTGTTCTGTGGCTCAAGCCTTGCAGAAACCAGGGTTTCCCATCGGTCTGACTCCACAATTAGAGGGTAATGACAGAAAGAGAAGGTTTCCAAGCATTGCGTACTTATATGATGAATCTGAGGTTGAAGATAATCCGACAGGCAATTCCCTTACCGCAAGAGAAAATCCAGATGGCACATCATTGTTCGACATGGAGCTGCCACTTGAACAATTAGAGTTATCCATGGTGTTTTGGGAGAATGCTGTGCACGATTTTGGTCGAACTAACATTCAACTTAGTTCGAACCTGGATGAATCAACAAGTTGTCTGGAAAGTCCATCTATATCTTGCATACAACCTAGCATCGATGCTCCAGCAAAATGCTCTCGGATTGACATGAACTCTGAGCCTGCAACTGTGGTTGCCTCTGAGCCTCTTACAGCAAAAGAACAACCTGCACCTATACCAGCTGGGATTAATGACGTATTCTGGGAACAATTTTTGACCGAAAATCCGGGTTCGACCGATACTCGGGATGTTCAGTCCGTAAGAAAAGATTCCGATCATGGCAGATTTTGGTGGAACATGAAGAATGTCAATAGCCTTACAGAACAGATGGGTCATCTTACCCCTGCTGAGAGGACTTGATATTGGTTTATTATATCACTACTTTTGATGCCTCCATGTTTCAGACTAGGTTACTCGGACTAGTTCACGACTATAGGATGCGAGTATGAATTTTTTGTGTTCGTGTTCTTATGTGTCGAATACACATGTCAAACACAGATACTTTCTTGCTTGGATTTTAGATGTATTATACATAGGTATCATAGATTGATGTGAAAATATATACTATGGCCATAGTTTTAGGTACTATACAGCTATAGTTATTCATATGCCTGTTTCATTTTAGGCTTCAATACAGTGATTATTTTGTTTGTTGCCATTCTGCATTTTCGAAATAACATGAACATGTCAAAATAACACGAATTTGACACACGATTACAAAAAAATAACACAAATCCGACATGCGATTGCGAAAATAGTAACACGAATCCGACACTCCTACTAAAAGAGGGCGGATAAGTGCTATTGCCCAACACGATTGATGTTCGCATGAAAATGATATATCAATAAAACAATGGCTACAATATCTATTAGTTCCCTGCCTGCATTTTCTCATTCCGAGAACATTTATTCGAGGAAAATGATTTTGTGGATCAAATTTGGCTCGTAAATGGTGAGAAAATTAGCTAATTACAAATGTAATACGAATCCAGTTAACTCGTGCACCGACTGTTCGAAATCATCCGAAAATTTTCTCGGGATGTACCTAGGATATTTAGAAGAGAGACAATGTCCACAAGAGACGAGCTTCGGTAAATTTTTTGGGATTTACCTAGGAGATTTAGAAGAGTGACAATGTCCGCAACAGACGAGCTTCAGTAATGAATGCGATCTTCGTGTTCCTATCTTCAAGCGCGAAAGCTGTAAAGATAACTGAGCGATGTTAAAACGTAATACGAACTTAAGAAGATTAGATTTAACGACAGGATACCTTCCGTCGAGTTACTCGAGATGCTTTCAAGCAAAGCAAGCTTCTTGATCTTGGTTCAAGTCTCCTGAAATATAAAGATATGAATTTGCATAGGTTCCAGGATGGAAGGTTGTCAAAAATATGAAAATACAATAGACAATTAATGGCAACAGATATACATACAGGCTCTCTTGTTCGAGCTTTTCGGCAATGGAAACCGCTTTGTGCTCTGGGCGCCCATTCAGCTGTGTAGATCCTTCTCCCTGATGAATTACCTGTGCAAGGGGCACCTTTCTTCTAACAATGCTCTGACTCGAAGTTAGTTCCCTGGGTTTCTCTCTCTCTGAGGTGGATGCCAATAGTGGTTTCCGATAAGCTGCGGCGTCAGCCACCTTTGATCCTCTTCTGTTAGATTTTACCTCATCATCATGTTCATTGTCATTGGTTTGTCTAGGAGGAGGTGCTATTTCAACAATTTCACCCCTTCCTGCTTCGGGAGATTTCACATGCACTCCGGAATCTCTATCTCCCATAACTCGTTTGTTAGTATCATCAGAACCTGCCTCGTGCATCCTATTTTGAGAATTAGACTCTGGATCCATGACCACCGGAGATTGACCATCCAGGGGAGATGGTAAAACGTGGAGTCCACGAAAGCCTGCTGTGGCGTCTTTGTTCGTTTCACATCTAATTTCAATTGTCAGGGGAGATCCGAGAACGGACTCAAATGCCTGTGAAATATGCCCCCTAAATATATTGGCTTTAGATCTGGTCATATGTGAACTGAACATTAGCTGTACAGTTGGGGCTGGAAAAACAGAAAAGTCAATCAAAAGGGTGAAGGAGATTCCGATAATTACCGAGCATAAAGAAAGTATATCATTGTCGACCGTATCGAGTAAAATTATCATACCATTTCTATGTTTGGAAGCTAAAACGATACTAATAAAAAGAAATCTTCAGAAAACGATACCATTTCAGGACTAAATGTATTCTACAGCCGGCTTATGAAATAATGCAAAAATGAGAATGCGCGGACATACCTACACCGAAACTGACCGATATCAGCTTTCCTTCTTTAAACAAAAACTCTTTTAGACTATTAACTTGAATATTCTCGAGCACCTCGAACCAGATATCTTCGATTCTCTTACGGTTGTTAACTAAAGATTGTTGATTTCGACCTAAATTTATATCATTCATGGTATCGGCTTTGAATTCCTCTGGACTTCCAGCATGGAGATTCTCCGACCTAGCATTCATTGACAAGCCTCTAGTGTTATCATGCAGCACAACAAACTCAAAACGTTCCCGGGGAATATCCGTTCCACCCACATCACTTTGAGGCAACGGACTATTATGAGAATTAGTGTCAGTGGAAGATATCGGCAATATATATTGCTGATTGGGAGCAAGCTGAAGCAAAGCGGCAGTTAACCATGTTAGTTTGTCGTTTGATAGCCTCAATTGTTTTTCCGCTTCAGATAACGTTTTCAAAGCTTGGCGTAATTTCTCCATATCTTCTTTCAACACTGGAGCAGATAGACAGTTATTACCGGAGCATGGGAGGAAACAGGTGGTTTAGGCATTTACTTGATATAAATGTAAACATAATAAGAAATTTACTAGTTTAAGACTCACATGGTTGTCGTCGGAAGAACTTCCTTCGATGCCTTTCTTTAGTGAACTCGTAACTGCTAGCAAGAATATCGGTTATCACAGTAGCAAGCTGTGACATCAAAGCTAAAGGCTCTACACCACTTTCCATTATCAGCCTCAAGCTCTTTACGGTGTTTACCGTGTCTGCTGATAATGCTAGATCGAGAAGATCCACGAGCTTTTCATCAGAGATAAGCCCAACCTGTGAATCAGATCCGTAAAGTATAGAGGAATTATAGAAATTAATATCAGCTAGTCATCGTAAATGCTTAGCTCACTTTCGTTATTTTGCCACCTGGGGACAAAGGTCTCCCTTGTTACCGGAGCTTATATATATTTATCTATTTTACTATGATTTAAGTATGAACAAATATAACACAAAAATTTACAGCAATACTTGAAAGCTGAAAATATTTAGCAGTGCATAGTGATATAAATCATTATAGCGATATTTGAATTGGGTTACGAGAACATACCAGTTCTTGAACCAACTGAACTGAGATTTTTTGCCCGAGCAAACTCAGCTGCTCAAGTGTCATCTCTGCATCCCTTAGTGATCCGTCAGATCGAGATGCAATTAGTTTAAGCGCATCTCTCTCGATTTCAATGTTCTCTCTGGGTGCGATCCACTGCAAGGTATAAATGATATCTGCATCCTTCAGTTTCGGGAAAAAGAATTTCTGGCACCTCGACATGATTATATGAGGCAAAATATCAAGATTCGAACAGACAAGAATAAGGACCACACGCCTCGGAGATCGATCAATGACCTTTGATATGGCACTCCAACAATCCGGGGATAAAGTATCACAGTCATCAAATATGAAAACTCGGTACTGCGAAGGCTGCTGGGAGATGTTCATATTATCAAGAAGGTCCATTATACTCTCGAAGTCAAAATTACTGACCGGTCCGACTTCCCTTATATTTCGATTCTTCCCCATGTCAATTGAAATACATGAATCGCAAAAGCCGCAAGGTTTGGTCTGTTCAAGTGACTGACAATTCAAAGCCCGAGCAAATATCCAACTACAAGAAGATTTTCCTGTTCCATGAGGTCCATAGAAGACATACAGTAATCCGACCTTCCGTTTCGTAACAGCATTCGAAAGGGCTTGTGATACCAAATTTTGTCCGACAAGGTCTCTAAAAGTTCTTGGCATGTACTTTTGTGTGATACTTTGGTGCCTACCCTGGTGGTTCCCAGCTAACTTGCTTTGATCACTGGATCTATCTACGGAAACAAGGTCGGAATCAACGTTGTGCTTCAATAAACTATCGGCAAATATACCTACCTCTCCTGAATAGTCATTCGCCCAACGAGCATTGTCCATGCTGTTCTGAGATCCAGATGTCTCGATTAGAAGAGGCAGTGCCTCTGTGTTGAATTTTGCAGATGAGCTTGATTGATCGGATTCCACAGGTATTTCTGGAGCATTTCTCGCGTGGAAACCTTCTCCACGTTTCCGTAATCTACAGTCCGATAAACCACAGGAAAAACTCCTTCCTGCAATATCAAGGAAAGTTTTACCCCTGTGATGAATTCTCGACCAATTTAAAGGGATCCCACATCCATTTCTAGGTGCCCTCCTTACATTCCGCACATCATATACATTGTCTTCCTCTTCCGTACCATACTTGGGATGCATTGAACCTTGACCGAATGAATTAGAATCCACAGACAACTCATTCCGACCTCCAACCTCTCGAGGAGCAGCACGAGATCTTCTTGCCCTTTGAAACTTGCGTCTGTTCTCCCTGTTTAACCCACTTGAATAGCCACGAATACTGACCTCACGTTCCTCACTGGGATGCTTCTCATGCCTTCCACAAACCTGGACATTGGAAGATGCTACATCATCACTATCCAGGGAGAGGTCATTCAATTGCTCCGATAAAGTCTTGGTTCGAATCCCTTGTGTTCGCTTCCCCTTCCAGTTTTTACTCCCATCAGGAGACAAAAACTTACCATCTTGCTCCGGTACAGGCTCATTATTTTCGCCCAAAATAGCAGTCCTAATTCTTTTACTATCTCTATCTGCACTCTTACTACTACGATCACAAACACTACCTTCTTCACCCGAAGCAACTTTCGAAGTTGGAAAATTAGCTAAAGCCGGTGAACTTATTGAAAGCCTCCTCCCATTCCTCGGCCTCTCGACACCGACAGACCTTCTCCCCTCCCGAAAACCATCCTTATCAACTTTCTTCGAAAGCAAATCAGCAACCAAAGGCGAATGCCAATAAAGAGGGCTGGCAGAAGGATCCCTGAGTGACCGGGAGCGTTGAAGAACCATAAGGTCCCTCACGAGCGATCGGTCAGACATTAAAGGGCTAAGCTTATGCATATGGTTCTTCAAGTGAATACAATTAGTCAAATGAATATGATTCCGTAGATGATCACTAATATCACCATCCTCCTTTAGTACTCTATCTCTACTAACAGCTCTAGTCATGATTCAAAACCATTTATGATTCCGATTATTCGGAATCGGTATCTCGAAAACATATCGAACTCATTAAATCCAGTAAACCCCAAATCTATAATCAATTATGACTATACAAAACGCACCAAAATCACACGCATTCCCCCATTAAATTATTCAACATAAACTCAAATGTGTTTGAAGTTAAACCGCACCATACCTGAAGCTCTCACGGATCTTTTTTCAAACACAAAGCAGGCAAAACTTGAAAACAAAGAAATTCAAGCTTGAAAAGGAGTTCTTTTGTTACTGAAAG